TTGATGTAAGGCCTCCAACCTTAGCGATAACACAGGAGGAGACGACGTGGGGCCGACTGCAACGAGATCAGGAAACCTTTGGTCCGAAGTCGACAGGGTTGCGAGTTCAAGTCAAGTTCCACGGGTTCATATCGGACACATCTAACCCAACTCCCGTTGCAACCGTTAGGTGTAGATTCGAGGGACAAGGGGTATTGCCTTGCCTCAACAACTCCTTTTGTCCCGCAGTGCTAAGGAACTAATTCATGAAGAATTACTGATCCATCAGAATTGCATAGTTCCCACCAGTGCACGAAGCAATTATAAGCTCCTAGTGCTAACGGTGATATCCAGCAGACAATTTGTAAAAGAAGGTGTTCTTCGCTTCCGCCTCTACTAGGTGTTTCGTGAGCCGATTCGCGTCATGATCGCAGTCAAGTACCGCAAACTTGAGCCGTACCACCAGACTCTCCGATGCATCCAGACGATCATTGCGATCCTTGTTGGCTTGAACAACTTCTGACTTCAAAGCGTAAATGCAATGTGCTACGACGCGATCAACTCAGTCGACTGAAGCGCACTAGCCTGATAAAATTTAGCTTCCTTCTCCGTCGTAGCCAACCGCTGAAGCAATCGCTAGACTCAGCCGTGGGAGACTCCATACGGCGGCGATAGGTCGGACAAGCCGTATTACACTGGGAGAGCGCCACGCAAAGGGAGGCTATGTGCTCATTGTAGTAAGCGACCCGAACAACATCACGATTCGACAGTGCAGTCATATCAGCCAGTAAACCCACGCGGGGTAAAGCTTGTCGCGCCGACGTGATCAGGAGACGACTGGGCTTTTCCAACAGCTTTACGATGACCCTCGTCAACTCGATTTCTCGTTGCCGGAATTGAGCTTCCATGTTCACCACAAGCAAGACGCCAAAGGTCACGCAAGCAGACAGGATCTGGGGAATCAACCGGGGACCCCAAAAACATAGAGAGAAATAGAGACAACGAGCGCGTCAGTAACTTCATCAGATGGAAAAATAGATGATATCCTTGACGGGTCCACAAGTAACGACTAAGACAGCGACGACTTGGATACCGATACAAAGCTTGGCTTCGTGTAACGAGACTTCAAAGGAACTACCGATACCGACGAACGGAGTCCCACAAAAGGTGAGACAGTTGACGGCGGTAGCGCATCACCGATACTATCTGTCACGTCAGAACTGGAAGATAAGAAGAGATGAGAAGAAGAAGCACACAGGGTCGACGACACGATAACAACAACTATATGTAACACGGCACAGCAGCAAAGACCGACACGGGAGAAGGGCTAATTGAAACGATGCGAAGTGGTCGAAACACTTGCCTGATGGGTTCGTAGTTCGACTGGAACAGTTGTGATGTCGAGAAAATGATCTTGCTGATTATCTGCCATTCCTTCCCCTCGATGATTGTGACCTCGACGGGTCGAAACTCGGCAAGTTCAAACTCGATGAGTCAAAACACGATGAGTCGGAGATAAATAGGAGTGTGTAATGTGGCGACAGGAGAGAGATTAGAAGCCACCCACGTAGTCCTCACTACAAGCGAATAAGAGACAATCGATACAGAGCAGATTATTCTGATTCCTGGATACGCCTAAACTTCACGGTAAGTCCCTACACGGGCTAGATTACGACAGTCGTCGAGTTTCGAGAGGCTTAGCTTGTAGAGTTTTCGATAAAGGGCACTCGCTACTAGCACACGTTGATGATTGACGAGCGGCAAGCCATTTGACGCAATGAACGGCACCGTATGAGTCTTGTCGAGCGATGAGACGGTCAAGTCAATGGAAGGGACATTTTAAGACTTGTCTAGTAACAAGCCGATGAGCCTCAGCCGATTTCACCATAAATCTTCCGGTCGGATGTACACTGAATCCGGTTACCTGGAATGGCGCGTAAAGTGTCGGCTTCCACCCTTTAGTGTGAGTCACAGGAGGTGAAAGGTTTAATAGCTGATGAGCTCAAACAGGCTTCTGGAGAATGTGGCTGCAAGAATCGAGTATACAAAAGCCACAACTGAACCCGAAGGGGCGAATCACGAAGAGATATCGTTATATACCAACGCAGCAGCCCAACTCACCGATTTACCTTGGCGCTACTGTTCTGCTGGTGCGTCAAAGTGTTTTATTACAATTTCAACGAACCACTATACCATAGAAGACTAAGTACGTAAGTTACGGTAGATTATATATAGGTGATATCGTGGAGCTTGTGTGAGATACATGTTACATATTAGGAGTAGTTGCAGACTTGTAGGATGTTATTATATTGTTGGCGACTAGTAGACTGTTATGATATCGATTTGGCTTAGTCATACGGTAAAGCAGATATCACGCGGATAATTGAGGGACCGAGGCCCAGCGTGGGCTAGTCTCATGAAACTCACATTGGCGACCTGCTGTTTTACCAGTAATTTGTACTTTCCAAAGCCGCGTCCCCCATACGACGCAATACTCAAAATGAATACGACATACCGGATGTTTTAATACAGATGTCTTACGATACGCTGAAACTTAAGGGTAGGATAAGGCGCTAGCTAGAAGAAAGCACATATATCAGCGGCGGCTGAAAGCTATCCGATTTTTCGATCCATTGATTTCGAAATTCTAAGCCTGATGAGTACAGCTCAATTTCGATTTGCAATCCTGACCGTAAGCCTATCAAGATTCTTCCTTTAGCTTGAACCTATACACCGCTACTGCTGGACGAGACCCAGCGACTGTCGAAGACGAGCGTAGAATATACGCGTAAGTGGCTTGGTGAATATACCGGCTAGCTGATTGGCCGATGAACACCACTTATCGACCCGGCTGTTTGCATGATCTTCACGAATAAAGTGAAATTGAATAGAAATATGCTTTGACGCGATCGACACCAACTTGTTCTAAATACACTGTATGACAGTTTTGTTGTCGATATTTAGTTGCGGTTTGATCTCAATCATAAAATGTCTTGAATGAGCTGTTGAATACAGCCGCACTCAGAAGTCGCTTGAGCTTTCGCGATGAACTCATCCTCCATAGTTGAAAGTGCGACCACATGATGCGTGCGAGATGACCAAGTCACGGGTCGTCCTTTAACAGTGAATGCAGAACCACTTGTTAACTTCCGGTTGGGCTCATCTCCGGCCCAGTCTGCGTCCGACCACATCACGGCGTCGAGATTCTTGAGATTGAGAGGCGTGGCTTCTTTTTAGTGTAGGATGCCGAGATCACGCGTGCCCTTGAGGTATCTAGTTATTGTCGCGCCGCAATACTGACTACGTATGAGATATATAGACCAGTCATGTTGGACCATCAGAAAAGTCTTCCTATTGCCTCTCGGTATCCGAAACCATCCACATGTAGTCGATCCTCGATTTTGTTGTAGCTGATGTTGTTGTCCATCGAGGTCGCAACTGGATTATAGTGTTCCATATTAAAGCGAACAAGGAGCTCGTCCACCATGCGTGACTGCGAAAATAGAAGAAAATGATACAGTCTGTAATTTGCATCCCCATAAACTTTTCTGCTGGTTCAGACTTGACTTCGTAGAGGTTTAGCTATAGATGTGCCACTCAATTCATGATTTCTGGTGTCGATCCGGCCATCCAAATGGCATTTACATACAATCCAAGTAGCATGTATCCATCTTCAGTGTGAAGAACGTACACGCACAGGTCAAAGTTGCACCGAAGAAACTGAATAGACTAGAAATGATTGTTAATGCTGTCGAACCAGCATCAATCTCACTGCTCAATGCCTTACAATGGCTTCGGCAAGAGTAACGACTGGTCTTGTGGCAATTGGGGTTCTGGAGGCGGCTACATGTATGTCTTTTCCTTGATCGTCCCCTTTACACATGCGTTCGGATCATCAGCGAGCACAACGAGAAGGCTGCAGATGTGCTCGCAAATGAGACCATAAAGAAGACACTGCCAATCCGAATGACAGCAGAATAAGTTTCTCCGTAGTCCACTTCATGTAATTGTGAGACATCACGTGCGGCGAACCGAACCCTGAAACTCTCGATGAAACCCGTGTGGTTGCTCTAAACCATGAACACGTACTCGCTTCATACAACATTGACGTCCGAACGAGATTTACGGCCTCCCACGTTTGTTTCGCAATCAGTGATTATAACCCGATCTTAATTACTGCTTGCCATTGCTCGCGTTTGGGGATTCAGGTGCTTGTTAGCGATAAGCTAGATCCGTGATCGGATGTATTGCATATATAGAGCATTGCACGGTGTGATCTTGCTCATTTGGTGGTGGACGGGATGTAGTTCCGTATGTCGCTTCCGCCCCATACTTCTGCCATTTGCAGGTTGATCATTGGTCTGAGACCCCTCCCCCTGATGTCGTCACGGTATATCGCTATGATACGGTGGAATCGACTGTCCTTGTACCTGGATACGGTTCAGAAGAATCAGCACGACAATACCTAAGTCGTGTGGTGATCGAATTCGACGCTTGTGTCGGTAGCACTTGCACGTACTGGATAAGGGTCACTTCCTAATTTGCGGCCGACCGCACAAGCGACTCTTCGACTGATATGGGCATCTTGGAAGTGTACCACACAACAAATCTGCGAAGCGTGATTTACTTTGCTGCCAGTTACTGTGGATCAAAAGCGACGCGCAGGATCGCATCCGTCCACCGCCTACGAGCATCGAGACGAAAGTGCCTTTGCTGGTGCCATCGCCCCAGGAGACCCCGGTGATAGCGGTGCTGAGATTCCGGTTCCGGTATTGCATCATGCTGCCGTGGCGCCTTCTCTCTAGTGCCCTGTGTTTCGACCGGGAGCCGCCAGTGGTGTTGCTTATCCTGCACCACCGGTTATTGCGGAGGCCTGTCCTCGTAGCCCCCCTGTACCGGCTCCGAATTGGTCCAAAGGCGTTTCCAGACTCTTCTCCATAGAGGCTCTCTGCCGTCGATGGGTGGTATATTCTGTCAGATAAGCGAGGAGGTGCTACTTGCTCTGACTGCGGCTCAGTCTGATGCCGCTGCGGTTGCAGCTGCTAACGCCAGCAAGTACTGACGTGAATACGAGTGCGCTCGTCAAGATGTATGGCGGCTGCTTGAAGGCAAATAATTTCAACTACAGCGCTAAAGAAAGAGACCTACCGGTTGTGGCTGGCGAAAGGTATTTTTTTGATTCTCCACTCGTCTTAACTTACGAAATTCGGGAGGACGCTGCGCGAACGGAACCTCGACGCATCGATTTTAAGTGGACTACTTTGTCATAAACTCTACGCCCGCCTACCTCGTGGGTACGTGGTCTACGAGCTAAAAACTACGTATCAGTTTTGTTATGCGTTGCACGCGGCGGCTGCAAACAAAGGAGGGATGACGCAGGCTGCCGCGCCCATGGATGATGTGACTGATCTCACGTGCTCAGTACACTCTCAAGTAGCCGAACTTACGTTTCCCACGCCCTTTGCTCGAGACATGTTGGCAGACACTACCTTTCGTTTTTCTCGCGGTGAGTTTTTGCTGCGTGCGACTGACTTGTTGAAGGCAGGTAATGCGGAAAATAGCTTTGATCCGATCGGTATTTCAATGTTGTATCGCGTTGAAGTGCTGGGTCGTTCCGACACCTCCGCGCAAAAGATTTGCGATTGGTCCAGCGCATTAACCTCGACACCGGTTCTGTGTGTCGAATACTTTGCCAATAAAGGAACTACGCTGTTTGACCCTTATGTCTCGTACGTCATTGTCGCAAGTACAGAGTGTCCACTGGAGCTTCCGACAAACGCAAGCTGCGTATTGAGAGCGACGGGAATCTGGCCACTGAGGCGTTCTTGCGTCACCCCCAGACGACCGTGCGGCCTCAGTGTAAGCTTTGCCTTGGCCCAAAGAACTTTCGTCGGGACTGTAAGGTTGTCGCACCCGACGTTGTTGCGAGCAGACGCAGTGTGTCCGTAACTGTTTCGGCGCCTTTGGTGACAGGGGTTGGGCTACTTGTACCCACAAGGGAGCTGGTGAAGCAGGTCAAGCAAATTCGTATCGCAACTTCACCACAGCCCTTGCTCTTCGACTCCCCCACGAGATTGAGCGCAAGTATCGTCAACAGCAGGAACTAGGCCGAAGAGCTGAGGCTGGTGACCGGACGGTTACCGAGGCTGCGTTACAGCAAGCCGCTCAGCATCGGGTCGATGAGGACACCTGTCGTCGTAGCGGGGTCGCTGCACGGACCCGGGTGGCGGTCTGGCTTCACGTCTTTGTCGTGAGCAAGCGCACAGGAGTTCCGGTGCCATCCCCATATCCCGCTTCTAGTGTGGATTGCACGATACCAGTGCCGACGGAACATGAGTCGGCCGCAGTCCAGACGGAGGTCACCGTGCCGGTGGGAACGGCTGAATAGCCGGTGTCGCCCGATATATTCCCTTCTCCCCAGGCTCAAGACACTAGTCCCGCTGTTTTACCTGTTTCCGGCTGTGATTCTGTGCATCTCTTTGACGTTTCGATGATCGCTGCGGCAAGTTTGTCTGTAAAGCTGGGGTTACGTTTGCCACCAGTGGTCCCAACGGTGAGTCATTCTCCTGAATCCTCGGCTGATCCGGCTCCATCGAATGACTACGCAATTCTCGCACGTGTCAAGACGGGGTGTCTTCCCACAGGGATGTACTGGATCGAGCTCGACGCCCGTGTTCTTTGAGGATGGCTCTACTCAACCCTTATAGAGGCGGACACCCCAACACGGGGCAATCTGTCAGAAGATACAGTCGGTGTTGGTAATAAATTGGCATTCTCGGACCCGGTACGCTCCCACGAGTTTCCGTAAGATTCCGTTTCGTCTTTCCATGGCCCCTAGCCCCCTTCAGCTGCATGAATGGCTCGACGGTCGGTCCTCGAGCGCAGCTGGCGCCCACGATGCGACTTGATGAGCTTGCGGAGACATGCAACATTCCTGCCAGTATTGAGACGACTACTCTTCCCCATCCACCCCGTCCTTGCAAACGTCCTCACTCTACCGATCGGCGCGTCGTGCGTCGGCGTGCAACAAGCCATCGCAGAGATGACTGTGCGGACCCCACCGGTCTGATGTCATCCAGCTCCCCCGAAATTTTATCAGATCCATTATCGCCCCAGCTGTCGGCTGCTCTTGTACCTCAAAGCTCGGACGTTGCTGTCGATAACTCTTTCCTCTTGGCTCTTCCTGGTTAGTAACAGCTTGGCCGCCCCCTGTCGGCAAGCGAGCGTCTTGAGAGCAGCAGCAGCCGGCGATATGAATCACGGTATGACACTCCGGCGGCCTCTTTTTCGCAAAGGTCGATTGCTGCGTTCTCTTGTTGAATCGGCCCATGAGCTTCGACGCTTATCCCCAAGTGACCGCGATTAGCGAAAGCGTCGCGAGGGCGACAACGGATCGGCTATAACAATTTGGATTCGGAAGAACTGACAAAGGTCTACCCGTCTCCTCAGCGCTCTTGCTTACTGTGGTGCATGCACGCTCGAAGCCTTCATCCCCACTCACGTCGACGCGTTGACTGATCTTCTTCAGCACCTTCCTTACCCCGTGTTGGTGCTACGAGGCCTGCCATCGTCCACGTTTACTACTCTTGGCAGCGTTGTTAATTGTCAATCTTTATTGGCGCTTATGAGCCATCACACGGCCGATAAGACTCATCCTTCTCCGATTTGCAAGCTCTGCTTCGGCCGTATCGAGGCTGTCAACGCTATCCCGCATGGCCGAGCGCGCTGGACTTTAACGGATGCGGTAAGCTGGTGGGTACGTCTCGAACAGGTCGAATCCGACCTTCTTCTAGCAACCACAGGCCTGCAGTCACCCATTGCTGAAATGCTCGCCTTGACAGTTGTGAGTCTCTTGCCCCCGCACCTAATTTCTTCGTAGAGGGACTGCGGGAAGATACTTCCAGACTGCAGGGCTCGCGCGTATGAAGCTACCTCTGATATCCAGCTCCTCGTGGCGAATGTTGCCTCCACCAGGTCGTGATCTCGTGCTCTGGCCCTTGTCAAACATGGAGAAGACGGCGGTCCCAGTCGATGCTAAATTCTCCTCGGTGACTGTGAGCTGTACGGCTCAGACATCACGTCCCATCACTGCCGCTTTTGCTTACGCGGGCCGTCAATAGACTGACGGCGTTCGTGCTCCAGATGTGCGTCAGCATTGCAGTTTCCTGTCCCATCGTGTCGGTCACGACAACATGCTCGGCCGGTTGTCTCAGGACATTCAAACGCTTGGTCGACGCCTTGGACGTCGAAACGCTCGATTTTCCCATCATCGCCAATGCCAAGACATTGGCGATACGGATAACTTGCCTGAGGCAACACCTCCCGAACCTTGTTCACCCCCTGCAGGCTGTTTTTGTCCCGTGCATGGAATTGAACCGTGCCATAGATTTGTTTGAGACAGTTTTAATTGAAGCTCGTGATGATCTGCAGAACGCTCTTGGCATGGCGTTGTTGCTCAATTTTGCTAAGGCTTATGACTCGCTTGGTCGCGATTTTCTCATGGCCGCATTACGGTATCTCGGCTAACCTGACGTATCGGTGCGCGTTGTCAGACTCTTACACGCCGGTACGCGCTGTCGCTTCTCTGTCCATCGGCATCCTTCGCATTGGCTACCGGTCTCTTGTGGCATTCGGAAAGGTTGCCCACTAGCACCCTTGTTGTTCATATTGGCGTTAGACCTTCTTTACACACGTTTCGTGATCGACACCCAGGTGACCGGGGTTTTGCTGGTCACCCGCTCCGCGGTTTTGTGGGTTAAAGTTCGCGGGTTTGCTGATGACATGGCTGTAAATATCCGCTCTCAAATCCAAGTGGGGGATGTCTTGTATATCCTCGAGATGTTTGGCACTGCATCTGGGCTAAGGGCCCATGTCGCCAAGTCCATCACGTTTTACTTCGACCAGGGACCTCGGCCTGCCCGACCGGGCTTGGTTCTTTATATGTGTTGCGCGCCGGTGAACACTGCCGGTATCTTGGGGTCTTTTTCGGCGCTGGTGCCACCGTTAGTGCGAATTGGACGAGCTGCATACGCGCTGTAACGGGGATCACCCTTGCGTGAACTTAACTCAAGGGTTTCGGTGCCCCGACAGACGCACACGAGGCAAACGAGGAAGCGTAGATAAGGTAAAAGCAGAACTGTTATATTAATAAAATTAAGTCTTTTAACCACTGTCTCTCTGTTTGACTTAACTTAATTATGCTAATATAACTGAGTGTATGGTGACGTCTCGTCACTACTCATTGCGCGCGTCCCGTGGCGATTGGTGGGTTGATATCATCAAGATATCAACCAATGAACAGACTCTTTGGTCGACTCATCAATATCACCACTTTGGTGATATTGTTCAAAGAATATTCAACTTAATATTCTGTATTGTCATTGTTTCTTTAAAGTGACAACTCCATGTAACGGGCTGCCCCGTTACATCGCCCCCCTAACTGATAGTCACCATGTGACTATCGAAAATATGGCGGCCACCCGTTGGTCACCATTGGGACAGGGAGCACTTGTTGGGTCCGTTCCATTCACTTTCCGCTTGAAATCGCATAGTTAACATGTCTATGCGAGGTGAATCAAGACCTACACAGCCCGGTGCTGTGCCAGCTTCTGCGGCAGACGATTCGTCGTCTGCTGCTCCTTCTTCGCCGGCAGCAACAGGTGCTGCAGGTGCACGCGGCACCTTACCGCGTGCGCATGATTACCCCGACGTAGAGGTCATCTACTCTGGCGAGTCAGACGTGTCTGACTCGGGCAATGCGCCAGAGGCGTCTCGATCACCGGCGACGCCTCAGTATTCGCCAAGGCCACTGCCGAACGGACTCGTGATTCGCATCACAGTCTGTTCGGCAGTGATGATGATGATCAGGGTGGTGAGGAGTATTACTCCGTACCGCCACCAACTTGTGCCTCTTCGCACGAGCGTGATGACGATGGCGTGAGCCGTCGTCAATATGGGAGCCGTGGTACCAACAAAGGTACTACTGTGAAGCGTGATGAGCTGAAGCCGTGGCGTTTGCCCGAACGGCTCGTCAATAGTTTGTCTCAAGAGACAAGCCAACACCATCGAATACCCTTATTCGATGCGACTGAGATTCACGGCTTGATTTCCAGCGCGAAGAACTTTCGCGCTGAAGAAGATTGTTATCTCAATGTCTTCCTTAGACATCGATGGTACAACGGCAACCAAAAGCGTGACAAGGCCTCGCTTTTGGATGCGTGGAACGCGTTCGTCCAAAACGTAAAGACTTTCGGACGAGAAGGGTGGCTCA